ATTATATGATATTACTGTTATATTTATTATATTAACATAATAGAAAATATGGAAGAAACTGGTGAAGTGCAAGCAGATCGAGGTTTATAGATAAATCCTAAAACCACAATCTGGTAAAAAAATAGCATAAGGCTGTTAGTAATAACAAATATGTATTGTTGTAGGGCTTCTCATAATGAAGAAATAGGTAGGATAGCATCGATGATAGTAATTAAGGTGAGTTTTGTATTTTATAAAATAGATAAATGTACTTATATTATTTTTCTTTAGAAAAGCAAGATTGAGAATAAGTATATAACCCCAAAGACCAGTACTGCGGTTTTATCTCCTCATTTATTGGTGTACTAGTGGCGTACTATTTATTGGTGTGGTGAAGCCTGGCGCATCCGCCACGACAGGAAAAAATCAGGAAAAAAAATACGTAAAAAGTAAAATAATTTAGCTACATATTGCTTAAAAATAATAAAAATCGACCCACTACAACAAAATAAATTAGATAAAAAATTTAAAGTGCCCGATTGTTGTGCCTGTGAGTGTATATAACAAATAATTTTTGGATTTATTCATATCTATATTAATAATTAATAAAATTGAAATTGTACACAGTTTCAAAACAAATTCGGTTTATTGATAATGCCATATAAAAATTCACAATAATTTTCACTCAAGTTCTCATCTCTATTAACCTAATCATGCATGATATTATCTAACTCGTAAATCTAAATACAATAAGGTAAAACGTACAGATATACATTGTAAGTCGTAGTTTATCAATAAAAAAACTACCGTTACTATAAATAGTTTGAAAGCGTAACACAAGAGATCACTTAACACAATACAAAAACGCTGAAAATAGTTAAAACTTGTCACAAAAACTAAAAACATTTTAGTTTGATCTATATATCTATAGAAATTGAACAACTTTCGCTATATTGAACGAAACAGTCGTTAAATTAAAGCATTTCAAACTATTTTAAAAATAATACAGAACAGTAATGCTTCTAGATACACTGTGTCAGTGATTGGACCTATTCAAGACTTATCCAAAAATAGGTACTTTTCAGTAAAAATCTGTTAATACATACATCAAACTTTTTTTACATTTCCTGTACAACTTTTATACAAAATTACAATTTCTGATAAATTAAATCAATCAGAGATTAAATTTTCTTCCTATCGAGAACCCCGTGTAATACATCATTGTTTTGCAGCAATCGCTATTCAAGCAAGGAATTCTATTGCCCAAGGAGTTTATGGCAATCTGACTGCAAAATGGTTACAAGCTTACGTAACTAGTATTTCTGATTCAATACAAAATCGGAACCTAGTTACTCGCCTAACCTTTTGAACGGTTTCTTCTTGTTAGTCCAAGAGATAGGCCTTTAAATACAAAGTTTTGGTAAAGACTTGAATTTTTGATATAAGTTACTTTGAAAGATCTAAAAACGAATTGTGAAAGATTATTTAGAAAAAAAAAGTTCAAATAAAAGCTGTAGAGCGTTCAATTTTACATAAAAATGGTCTCTATACTTTTTTGCTCAAATCAAAATTAACCGTAAATTAAGTCCTTACGGTTTCTCTGAAATTTAGGAAAAAAACACACTTTATTTATATCTTTCATCCCTTCTCGGGGAGAATTTAAAAAAAATTTAATTGAAATTTATAATTTTCTAAAGAAATTGAAAAAATGTTAAATATATGAATTTCTCAGCAACTTATATTTTTTTTTAATGTCTACTATACTGCCCTAGCTTCTAGCCACTCTTAGCCATCTCCAGTAATTCGTCGGCTTTATGACGAAAAGGCGTATCTCGATTTTTGGCGATTTTGAGATATCAACGTCATGACATGCCCAATGGGTCATATTTTTACATAGCGAATTTGCGCATCTCAATATTGTACCTTTTTCATTTTATATTAGTTTAAAAATTTGCCCCATCTCAAATACTACAATTCTTCGTTATGACGAAGAGACGTATGGTGAGATAGCGCTCTTTGTTATATCAATTATTGTTATACCATTTATTATACTACAAGAAAGATGGAATTTGAGATAGGTCCTTTTGTTTTAAGTTATAAAAATGTATGCGAGAGAAAATCACACCATTCTACCTAATTATTTTCTGATGGTTGCTTGTGACAAAATAAAACTTCTATCATGACAGCAGCTCCCTTTTACAGTGTGATTTTAGAGTCTATTTTTTGCCAAAAACCATTGTTAGAATGAAATAGACTCTGCACATAGCTGTATCGGGTATGCAAAAGATTGTCCGAGAATAAATGTCCGAATAAAAGGAAAATTTTGATCGAAAGCAAAACAACGAAACGAAAATTGCCCTAATGGAAAATTTCCCGAAATCATAATTTCTCTAAGAACATTTTAGCGAACCAAAAACTTGCCCGAAAAATACAATAATTTTCATCTCATTATCATTGTCAGGCCATTGGCATTGTCATCCCTACCAATTTTTGGAAAATTTTATTTATTTTACCTATCACCATCCAGCATAAACACGTAGAATGAAAGTCGAATTTGTTATCATTGCACAGGGAAAACAGAAACTGTTACTCCACAGTTATTTGTATCAAAAAAAAACGAATGAAGAAACATGTTTTTTTTTGTTCAGTTTGGTTTTTATTATATGGACCGTGAGTTTAAATACCCTGTATTAATGCCCTCAATTAACTAAAAAATTACTAAAAATATATTAGTTAAAAAATGCATTTTTGTATAAAAAATAATATTATTAAAATAAGCTAGATAAGAGTATTTTAATTGATTATTGTCTTTGCTTCTGGCATGAAAATTGTCTTTGTTTTCAGTTGATCTAATCCAACGCGAATAAAAGTATTTAAAAATGTATGTTAAATAAATTTAAAATATTTTAAATATGTATTGTATTTTCTTGTAAGTATTCCATAATGTGAATATTGTATAATTTTTTTTCTTATGAAGAACACTTTATCGTCATTTTTAAATTTATTTTACATGGGCGTATGTATACTATTCGTTCGGAAATAAATTTATTATTATTATAACAAAAAGGCCTATATCTATTAAACAACTAAAAATAAATTATTTATTAGAATTTACGCTCAATTTATCTTGAGAACGTTTCCTCAATGTCTCTGTTTAAGTGTTAATACATAAACACTATTAAAAATTAAAGACTTTACATTTATTGGCCAAATAAAGTAAGTGATTTTCTTTAAATTGCTCTCCTGAAAAATAGCAAAAATCGAGATACGCCTTTTTGTCATAAAGCCGACGAATTTTGATCTGAGCAAAAAAAGTATAGAGATCGTTTCTATGTAAAATTTGACGTGTCACAACTTCTGTTTGAATTTTTTTTCTAATTCTTACCATTTATTCGAAATTTCGAAAAAAATATTTATTTATTTCACCCCTTCTAGGGGATGAATTAAAAAAAATCACAATTCGTTTTTAGATCTTGCAAAGTAACTTTCAACAAAAATTCAAATGTTTACCAAAACTTTGTATTTAAAGGCCTATTTTCTTGGACTATTATGATGGTAATTAAAATAGTCGTTAATGATAGGTTACATGAAGTAACTTAAATTAAGACCGTAAATAAGAATAATATAATTAAATAATTATTTAAAAACTGCCATTTTTTATCAAACAATATTTTAAAATGAGTATATCTCTATCAAATAATACATCATTATTATTACTTTTTGTCTGAATAAGTAGCTTAACATACATTCTAAAGGCCTTGAAGATATTCAACCTTGTAAGGTAAATGTACTATAACAAATCTAACTTTAGAATAATTACTAATATTAGCGATGTTTTTTTCTAATAAATTAAATGTTTTTGTTGTTTTGTAAAAAAATATTAGGTAGGTATACCTTTTTTACAGCTTTTTATTTTTTATAGTACCATCACCTTAAAAATATTATCTTTTTTTGCAGTTTAAACTTAACTCTTTTACATTGCTCTTAAAATATACGGAGTCATCAACAATGATTGAATTAGTTGGTAATTCTGTGCCATTAGTATTTTAGAATTATTAATGATTGGTGCCGATGATAAAATAAATTTTATCAATCCAAAAACTTTACCAAATGTTTTCTTAACAAGTTTTGTGATTTGCAAAATTGACATATTTTTCAATGTAAAAAAATGTGTGTGCACTATGTGCGCATATTGAAAGTGAAACTTCTTACTTTCGTCTGTCTGTCTGTCCGTCTGAAGACTCCATTCGGATACCTCTATCAACGTGCCGAGTTTGGTTTCAATCGACCCATAATTAAGCAAAATCCAGATGATTTCGTCTATTTAGAGGCATCGCGCATCGGTTCGAAACGCCGAGGACGTCATCTGGTAGCCCGTCCCCAATTATGCCAAGATTGTCCCATATTTTGTTTTAATATCGAATCGTTAGTCCCACCCTGAATCGTAAAATGTCCGATTAAATTTATATCTCCGAAACTAAAGTTTCAAGAAAAGTCATACTATACTAGAAATTCATTTACCCAGTAGTAGTTATAAAAAGAATTTTTGGTAAGCTCTGTCTCAAATAGTTCTGAACATTTTTTTTTTAAATGTTCGATTAAATTTATATCTCCGAAACTAAAGTTTCAAAAAAAGTCATACTATACTAGAAATTCATTTACCCAGTAGTAGTTATAAAAAGCATTTTTGGTAAACTCTGTCTCAAATAGTTTCTGAAAAAAAATTAACTTTTTTAAAAGGTCCGATTAAATTTATATCTCCGAAACTAAAGTTTCAAAAAAAGTCATACTATACTAGAAATTCATTTACCCAGTGGTAGTTATAAAAAGAATTTTGGGTAAGCTCTGTCTCAGATAGTTTCTGAAAAAAAATTTTTTAAAATGTTCGATTAAATTTATATCTCCGAAAATAAAGTTTCAAAAAAAAGGCATACTATACTAGAAATTCATGTACCCAGTAGTAGTTATAAAAAGCATTTTTGGTAAACTCTGTCTCAAATAGTTTCTGAAAAAAAAATACTTTTTTTAAAAGGTCCGATTAAATTTCTATCTCCGAAACTAAAGTTTCAAAAAAAGTCATACTATACTAGAAATTCAGGATTGTGTGCACCGTCGCTCATATTGCCTACTCTCCAAATTTCATCATCAACTTTTGACGTTTCTTACGTTTGACTTTTCTAACCAACTGTCAGAGTTAGCCTTGGTCCAATCTATCGACATACGAAATTTCATTTAAATTGGAAGATTCTTTGATTTGATTCATTGATGATGGAGTTTTGTAGTGCACGAAACATCTTCAAAATACCATGAAAATAATTTACCTCACATCGCGCGTAAAGAAGTTTTACTTCAAAATTACCCGTTTGTCAATACAACGATAGTGTTCCACATGAAAAAAGAATACTTACATAATCATGGGTTATTTCCACCTCGCGAGGCGCGCGATTAAAAATTTAAGTAATAATAATAAACCAAACGAGTAAAATCATTATAGCCAACTATTTCAATCATTCTTGGTCGCTCCATACATAACACAGTGCAAGATTGTAATCACCATCACGCATATTATTTGATCTCATTCAAATATAGGTTCTCGATTAATGAGAATTACCACATGATCCTTTGAGGATAGGGTCTCCTTTTCAGCCTATTAATCCTGTACTCGAAATTGAAACTATTCGTATCATCCCTAAAGTGGCACACTATCGTCCTGGAAATCTTGATGCAGTTCATGCCCTTGGTACAGGGCGATGTGTAAACCATCTTGATTTTCTTCTCTGTGGGATGATGCAGTATGACTTCTTGCTGGTATCTTTTGGCTTCTCCGGGAGGACCGAAATACTGAGTCACTATCCAGGCAGACCCATCATTGTTGTTTCCCTGGACGCTCCAGAATACTTCTCTGTCGATTTTCGTTCTCCAGAAGGTGTAGGAGAATATTTTGCCCACTCTTTGTACCTTGTTGCCGAACTTCAACACGTAGGTGTCGTCTTTGGCCATGTCCTCGTCGAATTCAGATAAGAAATCCATCGTTGATGGATTCTTTGACCACTAGTTTTTCTTCTCTATTAAGTACTTGTATAAAAATCACAATTGTTGATATCACAGTGTTTCAAATATGTTTGTTTCAGTCTTGTAAATGTTCTAGCCGGGTGGTATCTAAAACGAAAATAGAATATTAGAATTCGCAGTAAGCAATTAATATTAAGAGTGTTATCAGGCAGATAAGAATAATCCCTATGTGTAGGATCAATAGAATGAGTAATAGCTCTGGGAAAAATTTTCAAAAAATAGTATCCTAATAGTTTCATAATATATTGGGAAATATTTAAAAATGTTGATAAATGAATAAAAATTATCCGTTCCATAATTTTTCAAAAATATTTAAGATAGTTATATAACTTTATTATTTATTACTACTGTAATATTTTACGTTATCTGGTATATTTTCTCTTGTGTGTGTGTGAGTTATTTATAAACCTTCATATTTTCTGTTAAAACAGGGAAGCCCAAGCCAGGATTTTGAGATATATTCAAGTAAGGATATACCCAAGCTCTAATAATTTATTTATTTAATGTAAATTATTAATAAATGTTATTAAAAGTTAATCACACTGATGCACGGTTCTACCTACAGCAAATTCCCCCCCAAAATAATGGTATTTAATATAATTAAAAAGGCCAATTTTTTAAAAGATTTAACATCGTGTAACTTTAAAACTATGCATTTCCGTACCCATGTGAATCAGAATTTTTTTTATATTTTTCGATGAGTGTTTTATTATTTAACATTTTGGCAAGTTAATGGCATTATTTTTTTTAAAGTTGCTATTAGAATTGGATAAAGGCAAATTAATTAAATTGCGTTTATCTCATCGAGGAGATCGAAATGGACAAAATATCAAGTACAACTTTTAATCGGCATTTAATGGCCTACACACTTTTACTAATAAGAGGAAAAAATGTCAATGGCGTACATATTTCCTTTAGGAAAATATTCCAGTGACAACCCATATGCACGTCCCTAGTGAATATCGACACTTTTTTAACATTAAAATATGTCGCACCTTTACAGTAACTTTTATCCTCAAAATTTCATTCGAATAGCTAAAATAATTTGGAAGAAAATTCTAATAAATCGAAAAAAGATGAATATTTTAAACCCCTATGTAGCTACAAAACAAAGCAGAATCGGACCTATGTTAATATGAAAAATATATCTTATTTTTACGAAAGGAATCTCCCCACGAAAGATGCCTCTTTTTTTTAAACACTCAGTATATCATATACCACACAATCGAAAAAAAACAGCGTGGGAGTTGGCTTGGAAATACAAACGCTCTCATTTTGACGCCGTTTTTTTTATAATATATAAAAACTAAAAACCGACAAGTACATTAGTTGCATACAAAAGTTAATTCAAGCATTGTCCCCAACTATAGATAATTTGTTTATTTTTCATCCCGATAGCCACACGCATATTAATTTTATTTTAAACTATTATAGAAGCATGCATATCCGCTTCCTTTTCATTATTTACCGAACCAGATTTATGATGGTGTCATCAAAGTTCTAATGTATTTATTATACGAAAAGAGGTATATCCCGAGAACAGTGAAACTTTCTAATACTACATTATAAATCGAAATATTTCACTTTTAATTTCGATTTCTTGTTTGATATAATTTATGCTTTTTACTTTTTTTATTTTACACTAGTATCTATTAAGTTATGAATAAATTTCACCCATATAACATTAAAATTTATGAGTATATTTCAGTCAAGAAGTTTCAATTACGTTTAGTTTCTTTTAATTTTTGAAAAATTATTATTTACAAGGCTAAGTTTACTGTATGGGTGTCGTATTTCGTTTTAGATATTTTTTAGAATATTCGTAATTGGTTTCTAAACCTATTTTGTCCTACTTTTACCTAACTGATTATAACTTTTTTGTTCAATGAGATAGAACATTTATTTAAAAAAAATAATTTTAACCATCATCAAAAGTAGCTCAAAAACAAGGGTTTAAAAAATAATTTTCTCAGAAATCTAGGTATCAAAGTAAATAGACTTTTTAAAGGTCTACATTTGGTAAACACACATGCCAAATTTGAACAATTTTGGACAAGCCGATTTTAGGTAATTTGAGAAAAACTTAATCGATTTTTAAATTAAAACTGAATAGGTAACAATCAAACACCAGTCAAAAACCGACATTCCTTAAGTTGTCAGCGTCATTTTCAAACGTAACTTAATTTTAATAAAATTTTAATATTCAGTACTAGTAATAATTTAAGGTATGTCAGTTTCTGACTGGTGTTTGATTGTTACCTGTTCGGTTTTAATATAAAAATCGATTAAGTTTTTCTCAAATTACCTAAAATCAGCTTATCCAAAATTGTTCAAATTTGGCATGTGTGTTTACCAAATGTAGCCCTTTAAAAAGTCTATTTACGACTTTGCTATAAAATCCATAGGGGAGCCAATATCTAGACAGTTTAAATTTTGCATGGGATTTCCTATGTTCCCAACGACGATGCAACACCCGGTATATTGTGGACTTACACAAAATTTCTTAGAATATTGGAATTTTCATATTTTTAGGACTATGTTTACTATTTATTTATTTGTCGTATGGCGAACAAATGATACTATAAAAGTAATATGTATAAATATACACAACCAAATTAATATAGACAAATATGTAAAACACTTAAAATTATAAACAAAATATATACACTGACAGTGGTATAGATAAAAAACAATTATGTATATATAAAATATAAAAAGGAACATATAAAAAACTATGTTTACTATAGCCTAAACAAGGGTTCTAAAATTTTCTCACCAAACCAAGGTATTGAAGCCTCTAAAGGTTGTGTATAAACCTAGTGTTTCTCAGAAGTGACTCACCCCCAATAACTTTTTTATTTTTTTACGTAAAAAACGAGATTCGGTGCATTAGTATACTAAGAAGACCAGGCTACTAGTAACATAGCAAGTTGCAGGACGAATTTACGTTTACCCGTTTTGCGTTCGTACTCGAGATTCACTGCCGGCTAGTCGGCTGGTCAGGCAGTACGCAGTTGCAGTTGCGCTTGGATGGGTCGGTCATGACAAACTAGGAATATGACTCGAGGAGTTCCGAGTATTTTTTATTTTCATTTTAAGTGTTTACCTTCACTTAAGGTGACATTTAAAATAAAAATACTTAAATATTTATTATTTGCGTGTGTTTACAAGCCAAAACTAAAAATAAATAAATTCCCTAAACCCAAAAAAAAAAACTAAAATATTACTCTAAATAAAAAAAAGTTATAACAAGTGTTCAAAAAGACCATCTTCTTGTGCTAAACAGAAGCCTAGGCGGTCGTAAAATCCCCGTCTGACATTAGCTAACATATTAGGGCTAATAGTTTGGGAAGCCTCTCGTATTTTTACTTGAAGCTCATCCAGATTATTAGCCCTATTATGACCATACACTTTGGATTTTACATAACCCCACAAAAATAAGTTATTGGGAGAAAGATCTGGTGATCTAGCGGGCCACAAAATAGTTCCATATCGACTAATTAAACGGTTGGGAAAAGTATTGTTCAAATTCATGAACAATACGGGCATTGTGGGCAGGACAACCACCTCAGCAATTTGATTACTTGAAAACGTGGGATTTTGATCCGCGGTAGCACAAATGAACTTACTTTAACTCCTGTTCTTCATTAATCAACACATTAGGCTTTTTGTGTTTTTGTGGGAACACGTACCCATGTGTTTCAAAATTATTAATAACTCTTGATACAGTAGGTAAAGATGGAATTGGCCTGTCTACAAAAGTTTGTGGAAAAATTGTTTGTATATCCCGATAAGACCTATTTTGGAAATACCATTTTACAATTTGAATTTTCTCACGAACTTCGTAATCATCCATTATTATACTTAAAAAATAAATTTTACACGAGAACTGTCGCGAGAATCTATGTATTCGTTTTGGCTATTAAAACACGAATAAATACAAATTCGGAAACATTCTTATCACATATGGGCGATTCCACAAACAATACATTTTTTTGTTAATTTTAAAATGAGACATTTTTTAAAATATTTGTACTCTTATTTGTAGTATAATGCCTATAGTACATAACAAAACTAGAATAACTTAACTTTCTAATCTAGTGCTCCTTGAAAATAGTCAGAACAAAATAGTTTTGGTTTTCACAGTGAAATTCCAAAAAATCGCTTTGTTTTATCAAGGTGGCTATGGATAAAAAAGCTGAGCAATGCGCTAACGCTGTCAGTTTTCTTTGCGCTTCTGTTTGAGTGATAGAATTATTGTGTTGTTACTCTTTCCAAGTAAGTATATTTTGTGATAAAATATTATAAGTATATCTAAATTTTATGTCCCGTTAGTAAACAAAATATACAATAAATTGATATATAGCGATACTTCAAGCCAAGAGGTTTTTACATAAGATAAAAAATATAAGTTTTGTGTGAACAAATTCTAATGTTTTAACTGTTTCTTTTTTAAAGGTTCTAGCTTTGTAGTTTTTTAAAATTAATTTTTGTCCCGTTAGTAAACAAAAATTATATTTTAGGACGGGAAAAATAGTTTCGAACGCAAACAAAAAATCAAAGCCTGTGTTTCGAATTACAGAAAAAAGATTTATGAAAATGAAAATTTAAAACAAAATTATTTGAAAAATTATGCTAAAAATCAGATAAAATACAGGAAAAAACTAAAAGATTTGGCCAAAAATAATATCGCATTGAAAGTGGAACTGAACATTAATGAAAAACATATTGTTCCCTATAAAACGGCTCAACGCCTTGAAAAGCTGTAAGAGCGGCAAATAAATCACTTCCTTTAGATAAAAAAAATAAGAAAGTGGCCGTTTTAAGAAAATTCTGGAAAAAATTGAGCAAGTTTAAAAATACAAAATATTAGCAAGTTTACCAGTCCGTCAATTGATAACAAACGCAAATTATCACAGGAGACAATTGAAAAAATTCGAAATTTTTATTTACGAGAGGATATCAGCAGGGTGTCTCCTAGAATGAAAGACCGGGTGAAAATAAAAAGAGGCGATCATGTCGAATACGTTACAAAAAGATACATACATGTATCTTACTATAAAAGAAGCCTTCCAGATTTTTACAGA